TAATGCCTGGCACATAATGGGGGATGCAGCTGGACAAGTAAAAGCTAGAAAAATCTTAAGAGCTTTGATTGCTAAGCAGCTTTGGTAGGTGATCAGGAGCTTTTCATGTGGAGAGCAACACTGGACTTATTTTTTTTTTAATGTTTTTTATTGATTTTAGAGAGAGAAAGGGAGAGGGGGGAGAGAGAGAAACATTAATCCCTACTGGGGATCAAGCCTGAAATCCCTATACTGAGCATGTGCCCTGATCAGGAATCGAACCAGTGACCTCTCAGTGCATGGAAAACTCTCAACCAACTGAGCCACAACGGCCAGAGTCTGGACTTATGTTTTTAAAAAGATAATCTGATTCTAGCATGGAAAATGGACTGGAGGACAGAGAGAGAAAATGTAAGATAGTGAGGAGTTCATTGCAGTTGTCCAGATAAGACATGAATGTTTACCCAAAAGGGACAGATGGAGAGGATGCAGGGAGGCGTCTAGCTTGGCAGTAGTTATAAGGAAATGCCATTGAGTGCTTGTTTGGTAATGTGGTAAGAGCAAATTTGTGGGGAAAGATAGTTTTGTTTTAGTCACAATGAATTTTGAATATTTATAACAATACATAGTGCAGTTGGAAATACATATAGAGCTGAGTCTAGAGGGGAGGACTACAGTATAGATTTATGCGTCTTTTCTAGAGATGGCAGTTAAAACCATAGAATTGGATAGGATCACTGAAGGGAAAATTGTAGAGTGAGATAATACTAACATTTTTTCACATGTCTCTTCTTGTTATGATGTCACAAAATCCGTAAGTGACATTAGTTTATCTACTTGAGAATTCACTTTGAGGACAGCGTTCTTTGGGATTAAAAATATTGGTGGCCCTAGTTGGTGTGTCTCAGTGGATAAAGCATTGGCCCGTGGACTGAAGGGTCCCGGGTTTGATTCCGGTCAAGGGCATGTACCTCGGTTGCAGACTCGATCCCTGGCCCCAGTTGGGTGCATGTGGGAGGCAACTAATTAATGTGTGATTGATGTGTCTCTCTCACATCTATGTTTCTCCCACTTTCTAAAAATCAATGGAAAAATATCCTCCAGTGAGGATTAACAAAAACAAAAAATCTAGATGATCTCATGACCAAGCTGTTTTCTGCTTCTGTCATCACCCGGACTCTAAGCGTTAGAGGCCTCTGCTCTCTCTAGGACCAAAACAAACCATTACATTGATCAAAGAATGGGTTGTTCAAGGTAAGATATTCGTTGATTGTCAACTGCCAACTGTTGCCAAGTATGCAGGCAAGAAATAAAAAGGGTGGTCCTGGCTGTTCATTACTCCTCTCTTCCCACTTGGGGATCTGTCTCAGGAAGTTCTCAGAAAGATTCTAACAACAAGCATTCTCTGAGAACTCACCCACCCCCTGCACAGGTGGGTCTAGGGGCATGGTTATCATCTGAGACTCTATTCCCCTGACTGTAGCTGACTGGAGTAGGGGAAGACCCTTTAGAAGAAAAATAACTTAATAATAAATAAACATTTTATGATTTTAAAAAATAAATTCAGTGAAGTTAAAAAAAAGCATAGAGGAAGACCCCTGGCTCAAGTAGGTCAGTTACTCAAGAATCTGGGGGTGGGACAGGCACTTGGGAGGCTGTGTACTTGATGTAGGAGTATATACTCATTTTGGAATGGTGGGGGTGTGAGGCAGCTATCTTCCCCATGAACACAAAGAAAGCTAATCTGCAGAGAAAGTACATTAAAGCAGGGATAATCAGCATAGCCCCAGGTGGGGGGCGGGGGGGGGGGTGGCAGGTGGAAACACTGAAAAACTGAGAAAATGGCTACCTAGCTACCTTACAGCCTTTCATGTCCAGATTTTAATCTCTCCAATGCCCATAGGTTCTGTCATCCTTTTTGCCTAAGCTGACCTAAGCAGACTTCTTTTTTTTTTTTTTTTTAATATATTTTATTGATTTTTCACAGAGAGGAAGGGAGAGAGATAGAGAGAGTTAGAAACATCGATGAGAGAGAAACATCGATCAGCTGCCTCTTGCACATCCCCCACCGGGGATGTGCCCGCAACCCAGGTACATGCCCTTGACCGGAATCGAACCCGGGACCTCTCAGTCCGCAGGCTGACGCTCTATCCACTGAGCCAAACCGGTTTCGGCCAGACTTCTTTTTTTAAAAATATATTTTATTGACTTTTTTACAGAGAGGAAGGGAGAGGGATAGAGAGTTAGAAACATCAATGAGAGAAACATCAACTGGCTGCCTCCTGCACACCCCCTGCTGGGGATGTGCCCGCAATCAAGGTACATGCCCTTGACTGGAATCGAACCCAGGACCCTTCAGTCCGAAGGCTGACGCTCTATCCACTGAGCCAAACCGGTCAGGGCTAAGCAGATTTCTATTATTTACCAGCAAGGACCCCTAACTAATTGGGAGTAGCCATCTGGGTAAGGGAACCAAGGAGAGAAGCAGTTAGAATAGACATTATTGAGAGCACTCGGGAGATACCTAAATCCTATCAATAGGCTGAGGATATCTTTAGGACTGAAATGGCTTTAGTAAAAATTGTAACTTAATCAACTGCTACCATGACTGAAAGATACCAAAGGGTACAGGAGTCTAGTACAAAATGAGTGCTTTGCAGTGTTTATTGAATGGATAAAGCTAAAATGCAAACATCAAATTGGGGAGAAATTTACAACAAAGGGCAAAACTTTTTCTCTGTATTTTCATCTCATTTTAATAAAGGTTTCTACAAAGCATTATCTTGTCTGTCCATAGTCAGGCTCCTCCTTCCCCTCACCCCACTCAATGTTAATGTCTGGACAGGGTTGTGATGCACACTGGACCAATCAGAACTCTCCCCTGGGCATTTTAAAAATTTCTATCCAGAGGGAGGAAGATGCAGCTCCTTTTTGGGGGTAGATGTGAGGCTGATTTGGCAGACAAATTCCCAGCTGAGCAGAAGCCAGTCTGCAGCAGGAAGGAAAGTTGCAGATGATGCAGGGAGACGGTGCCGCTTAAGTGACTCCAGCTGTCCCTGAGGCCAACTGCACCTGCCCTTCTTGCAGTTTGGTTATAAGAATCAATAAAGCCACCAACTGGGACACCTGTCAAACATGGGACACAAGTGATCACTACTACACACTCCTAATCACCCAATTGCTACTGATGCAGGATTGCTTTAGAGATGGTCTTCAACCTGTCCCTGTGCACAGACTTGATTTGCTCTATGCTCCCTTCATTTGTGAGAACCAGGGGGAGATGGAAGGGTCAATGCTCTATGGCTTATCTTTTATCCACATGCCCATGCTGGAAGCTGCAGAACCATTCTGAGGGTCCTTTCAGAGTGATCCAGGTCATCAACATGTACCCAAGGGGTACAAATGTATTGCCCACTCCAACATTCATTTTCCTCTTTCTTCTCAGTGGTAGAATCTTGATTTTATTCAAGGCACCCATTCACCTATCTAAATACCATTTCCTATCCCCTGTACTAAGTTCTGGCCAATGAAATATAGAGCATTGTGCCCTAACCGGTTTGGCTCAGTGGGTAGAGCATTGGCCTGCGAACTGAAGGGTTCCGGTCAAGGGCATGTACCTTGGTTGCGGGCACATCCCCAGTAGGGGGTGTGCAGGAGGCAGCTGATCGATGTTTCTCTCTCATTGATGTTTCTAACTCTCTATCCCTCTCCCTTTCTCTCTGTAAAAAATCAATAAAATATATCTTTTTAAAAAAGGAAAAGAAATATAGAGCATTGTATGGTACTACTGGGAGTCTCTTAAAAAGAAGGAAATGGTCTTACTCCTGCACTTTTCAATTTTATTCTACCAGGAATGTGGAACTCTAATGGCCTTCCTGCATCATGAGACAATAAACCAATGATAGCTCCTCTGTAATCCAGGACCCAAGTTCCCTCTATCTTGCTTCTTTGTCCTCATTAGCTCATTTCTCATGGTCCACGATGGCTGTTAGAAATCCGTGTGTCCCTTTCTCATTAGGCCCAGTTGCATATAATAGACTAAGATCAAAAAACCAGTAGCAAAACAAAACAGAAGATTATTTCTCTCAAATTTTTTTTCTCCTTGAGAAATAAAGTTTTCTCTTGTTTATGCGACCTTTATTTTGGGCTGTTGACCTTAAACAAATAGACTGCCATATATTTCTCCAGCAAAATGTGTTTATTCAGAAACAACAAAGAATTGCAATATGCAACATGCAGGTCTAATGGCAAACCCCGCCCAAGTCCAGAGAAGCTGCTCTTTTGTGGACTTGGGAGGAGCTGTTGTAAAAGGTCTCAAGTCCATTGAAGGAAACTGAAAGGTCAAAGTATAGTGACTTGTCATTGACGTGAGCTGTGTAAGTCTCCCATTGGCTGAGCTGTTACTGGGCAGGGAGGAATCTTTTCTTCCTCCTGCTGAGGTAGACAAGTAGTATCACTTTCTGTCAGAGATGCAAGGTGCCTCTCCCTGTTGGGGTCAATAGTGTATGTTGAGTGATATGTGCCTGAAAATGGTCTTCTAGAGGCCCTTCCTCCACATACACCATTTTAAATGAGGTTTCTGCTTATTAATTTTCACAAGGCTTTGTCTGTTTTATGTAACTGAACCTAATTAAGTAACCTAGGGCACTGGAGTGTATATTGGAGTCCGTGATGGGGCCGGTTCCAGGCCCACGTACAGTAAAGGGTACGGCCCTGAGGGAATCTGCTCCCACCTTCAGCATCCTCCCAAACTTGTTAAACCTTGCACCGAGCAAACTGGGCAGAGAGACTTCATCTCAGCTACTTGTGAGAGGAGGAAGTCTGAGAGGGGTGTGCTCTTTACCTTTGCCTCTTTATTGAAGGTAAGGCTTCAGGTTTGATAATGTCCCTGCTTCTTTGTTTCCTTGTCTTAGGACGTCTCTCCAGTCTAGAGCCAGAGTCTAGAGCACCACTGCCCAATAATGTGAGCTGTAAAGGGGATTTAAAATTTTCTAGTAGCCACATCTAAAAAAGTAAAAAGGGTGCTCACTTTGGCAGCACATATACTAAAATTGAAACAATCGAGAGAAGATTAGCATGGCCCTGTGCATGGATGACACACAAATTCATGAAATACTCCATATTTTAAAATAAATAAAAAAATGAATACATAAATAACTAAAAAGATAGGTGAAATGAATTTTAATAATACAGTTTACTTAACCCAAATATATATGAAATATTATCATTTTCAATATCAATATAAACAGAATCATTATAAATTCGATTGGATCAAACATAATATCAAAATTATAAATGAGGTATTTTACATTCCTTTTTTGTTCTAAGTCTTTGACATCCAGTGTATATTATACATGTACAGGGCATCTCAATACTTCCATGTGACTAGTGGCATACTGTACAGAGCAAGTTTAGAATCTGCTTCTTTTCTCCTCCCAAGCCAGCCAGCCCATCTTCCTGTCTCTCGTTGTAATCTCATTGTAAGGTTTTGCCTCTCAGCCTGACCCTTTTGGATTGATGCATTTTTTTGGAGTGCTCTTGGACCTTTCAGATCCTTTTCTCCTGGTGCACAATGATGGACCAGCCCATCTCCATTCCGTGCCTAGCCCTGATGACTTCAGTAGTCTAAAAGGAAAGGTCAGGTGGGTGAAGTTCCTTGGGTGCTTCTCAAGTACACGGATAATCCTTTTACATAGGCAGTTTCACATCACTGCTTCCCAAGAGTTAAGGCCTTGCGAAGAAAACAGAGTGGGAGGGAGAATCACCTAATGAGTAAGATTATTCCTGATTGCCAATCACTTGGGAAATTGGCAAGTCTTCAGATTGGAAATGAAAATTGGGGAATAGGGCAAAGGCAAGTGCAGAAGGACTTTCTCTTGCATGGCTGTTGGCACCTAAAGAAATGTGAGGATCTGGAGCATGAGGGATCAAAACTAGGGCCTGGTAAAGTTGGGCTAATTCCTGTGGGTAGAGCAGTGACCTTCAAACAGTACCCTGTGAAGTTCCTAGTTTGTGGAGATCCTGTAGGGCAGTGGTTCTCAACCTTCCTAATGCCGTGACCCTTTAATACAGTTCCTCAAGTTGTGGTGACCCCCAATTTCATCGTTACAAATTGAACATAATTAAAGCATAGTGATTAATCACAAAAACAATACGTAATTATATATGTGTTTTCCGATGGTCTTAGGTGACCCCTGTGAAAGGGTTGTTCGACCCCCAAAGGGGTCGCAACCCACAGGTTGAGAACCGCTGCTCTAGGGGCTGCCTGAAATAGGATGGAGGGGGAACAAAAAGGAGGCACAGTAGATAGAAATCTGAGCTCCCCAAGCTCCCCTTCAACCTGAGCAGGGTATCTTTTATATATTTATACATTGAGGTTTTGCATATTATTTCTTATTTATTTATTTACTAAGGCCCAGTGCACGCCATTCATGTACTGGGGGATGGGGGGGGCGGTCTCTCAGCCTGGCCTGCATCCTTTCACAGTCTGGGAGCCCGTGGGGGATGTCTGACTGACAGCTTAGGCCCATTTCCTGCGCTGCTGTGTAGGCGGGCCACTGTGCTTGCCAGCTGTCAGCCCAGCTTGTAGCTGAGTGGTGCTCCCCCTGTGGGAGTGCACTGACCACCATGGGGAAGCTCCTGTGTTGAGCGTCTGCCCCCTGGTGGTCAGTGTGTGTCATAGCAACTGGTCGTTCTGCTGTTTGGCCTATTTGCATATTGCCCTTTTATTATATAGGATTTTTAAATCCTTGCCCAAGGATATTTTTTTTTTTTTTAAAGCATTCTTTTTGTTTCTTTCCTTGCTCTGCCACATTTATTTATTTATTTATTTATTTATTTATTTATTTTTTTTAAATATATTTTATTGATTTTCTACAGAGAGGAAGGGAGAGAGATAGAGAGTTAGAAACATCGATGAGAGAGAAACATCGATCAGCTGCCTCCTGCACATCTCCTACTGGGGATATGCCCGCAACCCAGGTACATGCCCTTGACCGGAATCGAACCTGGGACCTTTCAGTCCACAGGCCGACGCTCTATCCACTGAGCCAAACCGGTTTCGGCGCCCAAGGATATTTTTTTCCATTGATTTTTAGAGGAGGAAGAGGGTAAGGAGAGAAACATCCATGTGAGAGAGACACATGGATTGGTTGCCTCTCGCATGCACCCAGATGAGGGCTGGGAATTGAACCTGCAACCAAGTTGTACCCTTGACCAGGAATCAAACCTGAGACCCTTCGGTCTGACACTCTAACCCAGCCGTGGGCAAACTACGGCCCGCGGGCCGGATCCGGCCCGTTTGAAATGAATAAAACTATTGAGAAAAAAGACCGTACCCTTTTATGTAATGATGTTTACTTTGAATTTATATTAATTCACACAAACACTCCATCCATGCTTTTGTTCCGGCCCTCCGGTCCAGTTTAAGAACCCATTGTGGCCCTCGAGTCAAAAAGTTTGCCCACCCCTGCGAGTCTAACCCCAGGGCACTATTTAATTTTTTTTAATGCATTTTTCATCTTTAAAAAAATGTATTTTTATTCAGAGAGGAATGGAAAGGGAGAGATAGAAATATCAATGATTAGATAATTGACAAGCTGCCTTCTGCATGCCCCCACTGGGATCGAGCCAGCAATCTGGGCATGTACCCTGACTGGGAATTGAACTGTGACTCTTGGTTCATAGGTTGAAGCTCAACCACTGAGCCACGCTGGCCAGGCACTATTTATTTTTTAAGTGGCTCTACCTAAAATAAACAAAAACCTGAACATCGCTGAGATAGATGAAAAAAACTGATGCTAATAGAGGGTAGGTGATTTTCCTAATCACACAGCTAAGCAGTGGTAAAGCCAGGATTCAAATGACCAGTTATATTTCCTAAAGCGAAGGCCCTTTTAGAAGAGAAGAAGCTAATTCCCTTGGCCTTTACAAAAACATGTGCTGCCTAGAGAGTCATGAGACCAAGAAGAGAGCTTATGGTATCTGATGGGAGAATGAATCTTTAACATTCAGTGATAATATCTGGGTGTAACGAACTCTCCTTGAGAATGTGGCCCTAACAAGCAGAGAAGTCTTAGGACTCTACAAAAGATTTTTGACATTTTTATATATCAAGAAACAGCTCTTTGGACATTCAGCTGGTTGTCCGAGGCCACAGACTTTCCATCCTAGAACCATGGCCCAGTTTGTCCGTAACCTCATGGAGAAGGCATCTGCACTGGTAAATGCTGTTGTGATTTACTTGAAATGTAGATTGGCCACATTTTGGCACTATGCCAAGGTTGAGCTGGTTCCTCCAGCTCTTGCTAAGATCCCTAAAGCTATTCAGAGCTTGAAAAAAAAAAAAGTAGTATTCTTGCCCTGATTGGTTTGGCTCAGTGAATGGAGCGTCGGCCTGGGGACTGAAGGGCTGAAGGGTCCCGGGTTCGATTCTGGTCAAGGGCATGTACCTTGGTTGCGGGCACATCCACAGTAGGGGGTGTGCAGGAGGCAGCTGATCGATGTTTCTCTCTCATCGATGTTTCTAACTCTCTATCCCTTTCCCTTCCTCTCTATAAAAAATCAATAAAATATATTTTAAAAAAATAGTAGTATTCTAACTGGTAGCTTCCAATGCTCAAAGTTAAGGAAGCTCTGCTGAATGGTTTGGTAACCACTGAGGTGTGGTTGTGGTTTTATGTCGGCAAGATCATAGAAAAGCGTGGCATCATTTGCTATAATGTTTCAAGACCAATCTTTTTAAAAAAATGTTTATATTGATTTGAGAGAGAGAGAAAGGGAGAGGGAGAAGCATCAACTTGCTGCTTGTTATTGGGGATCAAGCCCCCTATTGGGGTTCAAGCCCACAACCCGGGTAAGGGCCCTAACCAGGAATTGAACCTGTGACCTTTTGGTGCACAGGATGATGCTCAACCTGCTGAGCCAGGGCTGAAGACCAATCTTTAATAACTATTTCCTTTTGGTTTATTATCTTACTGTTCTTCAACCATGGGTGATCAGAAGGGTATTTGAATTTTTTTTTTTAATATATTTTATTGATTTTTTACAGAGAGGAAGGGAGAGAGATAGAGAGTTAGAAACATCGATGAGAGAGAAACATCGATCAGCTGCCTCCTGCACATCTCCCACTGGGGATATGCCCGCAACCCAGGTACATGCCCTTGACCGGAATCGAACCTGGGACCTTTCAGTCCGCAGGCCGACGCTCTATCCACTGAGCCAAACCGGTTTCGGCGGTATTTGAATTTTTTAAAAAATATTTTTTTTATTGATTTCAGAGAGGAAGGGAGAGGGAGAGAGAGATAGAAACATCAATGATGAGAGAGAATCATTGATTGGCTGCCTCCTGCACAACCCCCACTCGGGATTGAGCCTGCAACTGGGCATGTGCCCCCGACCAGAATCGAACCCGGGACCCCTCAGTCCCCAGTTCAATGCTTCATCCACTGAGCCAAACCAGTCAGGGTGAGTATTTGAATTTTTAAAAAAGATACCAAAAAAAAGAAATAAAAATAAAAAGCTCTTTTTTTATGAAAAAGAAAAATGTTTCAGTCAAAATACCTTCCCCAGGCTCTCCAAGCCTTTATTATGTCCCTCTGCCTATAACACCATGGAAGTCAAAAGGGCTCTGTCTTAAAGGTCTCACTCCTGCTTATGAGCATCATCTCAGGACCACATCCAGCCATTCTCCCTCTAGACCAGCGGTTCTCAACCTGTGGGTCGCGACCCCTTCAGGGGTTGAACGAGCCTTTCACGGGGGTCGCCTAAGACCATCGGAAAACACATGTACAATTACATATTGTTTTTGTGATTAATCACTATGCTTTAATTATGTTCAATTTGTAACAATGAAAATACATCCTGCATATCAGATATTTACATTACGATTCATAACAGTAGCAAAAGTACAGTTATGACGTAGCAACAAAAATAATCTTATGGTTGGGGTCATACAACATGAGGAACTGTATTAAAGGGTCACGGCATTAGGAAGGTTGAGAACCACTGCTCTAAACTGAACATTAAAACATTTTTTTCAGTAAAGAAGGGAAGGAAGAAAGGGAGGAAGAGAGAGAAGAGAGGAAGGGAGGGAGGAAGAAAAGAGGGAAGAGGGGGAAAAAAAGGAG